GGGTGTACTCACTTCTGTGAGATACTGTATATTCCTATGCAATGAAATAAAACAACCCCTGAGCAATGTATGTATAAAATACAAAATATGCAAATAAGTGCTTAGCAAAGTACTTAACAGTGCAGTCCTTATAAAGTGCTCATTAGAATAAAGTGCCATAATCCTCTGTGTGTGACACCCGTGCTCCCATCCTTGCAGGCAGGAGAAATGATTTCAGGATTTGTACCCAAGACTCAGATACTACAGGCCACGGTCATCTAGAACAGAATTTCTTGCAAACAAGGTACATAAGGGTAATTACACATTTGAGGTCCACATTAACTATTATCGCCCAGTATAAGGAATTAACATAGTTATTCTTTAAATAAACAGCTCCTAGATCAGATATCAAGTTCTGCAGCTGTGTGTATCAATTACATAGCAATATTAGCAGAATAAAAAATGACTTTTTACCTTCTGACAGTCTCTGCTTCCAGCCTTGTGCAGCATATGCAAAGAATTCATTATTCAGTGCAGAATTGCTAAGACGTAAAGCCCCATCACTTCCCATCTGGAAGGGGAACAGGAGAAAAGTTATGACTGAAATGCCCTTTTTTGTTAGCGAAAATGGTTTCTGTACGTTTAGCAAAAGGTCTGTTGACTATATTCAGAAATAAATGACCAACGCATAACATAATGCAATGATTAAATTTTCAGTTACGTAACTAGAGTATAAAAACAGGCAGTAATATATGCCATGTTGATATAGGTACATTTTTGTTTTAAATTATATTCGTAATAATACTAAATGTTAAGATTATATACCTTACATTCATATCAACATTGTGTGATGTTACCTGCAATCAATATACTCAGAAAAAATAAATAAATCAACAACATCCGTGGTAATATACACCAATCAGCCCTGACACAATAACCAACCACCATGCCCTCTCAAGGTATGAACTCCGCTAGACCTTTGAAGGTATTCTGTGGTATCTGGCACCAAGTCATCAGTAACAGAACCTGAAAGTTGTGAGGTGGGGTCTACATGGATCAAACTTATTTTTCCAACACATCCCACAGATGCTCATTTGGATTGAGATCTAGAGAATTTGGAGGCCAAGTCAACACCTTGAATTCATAGTCATATTTCTCAAACCATTTTTGAATTCATCTTACCAGGCCACCTTCTTTGATTGCTCCTGTGGTCCAGTTCTGAGCACTTTTGGATGTGGACATGGGTCAGCATTGGCACCCTGACAGATCTGTGGGTATGCAGCCCCATAGAAAAAAAACTGTGATGCACTATGTGTACTGACAACTACTAGAACTAGCATTACCTAGGAATTTGAGCTACAGAAGCTTTTCTTCTGGATCAGACTACACAGGCCAAACTTTGCTTCCCTCGTGCCTTGCCCACCCATGACCCTGTCATTTGTTTTCCTTCCCAGATCAGGAGAGTGCGGTGGATGATCGAGAACAGGTACAGTGAAGGAAAAAGGATTTGATCCCCTGCTGATTTTGAATGTTTGCCCACTCACAAAGAAATGATCAGTCTAAAAATAGAATGGTAGGTGTATTGTAACCCTGAGAGACAGAATAGCAACACAAAATTCCAAAGAAATGCATGTCTAACAAATTATGCACTGATTTGCATATTCATGAGGAAAATAAGTATTTGATCCCCTTCACAAAACATGATTTAGTACTTGGTGGCAAATCCGTTGTTGGCAATCACAGAGGTCAGACGTTTCCTGTAGTTGGCCACCAGGTTTGCACACATCTCAAGAGGAATTTTGGCCCACTCCTCTTGGCAGATCCTCTCCAAGTCTTTAAGGTTTGGTGGCTGATGTTTGGCAACTCAAAATTTCAGCTCCCTCCACAGATTTTAAATCAGATTAAGGTCTGGAGACTGGCTAGGCCACTCCAGGAACTTAATGTGCTTCTTCTTGAGCCACTCCTTTGTTGCCTTGGCCGTGTGTTTTGGATCATTGTCATGCTGGAACACCCATCTATGACACATTTTCAACGCCCTGGCTGAGGGAAGAAGGTTCTCACCTAAGATTTGACGGTACATTGCCCCGTCCATCGTCCCTTTGATGCGGTGCAGTTGTCCTGTCCCCTTAACATAAAAAGGCCCCCAAAGCAGAATGTTTCCACCACCACGTTTGACAGTTGGGATGGTGTTCTTGGGATCATAGACAGCATTCCTCCTCCTCCAAACACGGTGAGTTTAGTTGATGCCAAAGAGCTTGATTTTGGTCTCATATGACCACAACTCTTTCAACTAGTCCTCCTCTGCATCATTCAGATGATCAGTGGCAAACTTCAGACGGGCCTGGACATGTGCTTTCTTGAGCAGAGGGACTTTGCAGGCACTGCAGGATTTCAATCCTTGTCGGTGAAGTGCATTACCAATTGTTTTCTTGGTGACTGTGGTCCCAGCTGCCTGGAGATCATTGACAAGATCCTCATGTGTAGTTCTGAGAGGATTCCTCACTGTTCTTATGATTATTGACACTTCACAAGGTGAGATCTTGCATGGTGCACCAGACCTAGGAAAACTGACAGTTGTTTTGTGTTTCTTCCATTTGCGAATGATTGCCACTGTCCCTGACATCCTTGGACAGCTCTTTGGTCTTTGCCATGGTGGAGAGTTTGGAACCTGATTGTTTGATTGCTCCTGTGGACAGGTGTCTTTTATACAGGTAACAAAATGAGATCAGCAGCACTCCCTTTAAGAGACTGCTTCTAATCTCAGCTTGCTACCTGTACTAAAGACAACTGGTAGCCAGAAATCTTGCTGAATGATAGGAGATCAAATACTTATTTCCCTCATGAACATGCAAATCAGTGCATAATTTGTTAGACATGCTCTCTCAGTGTTGCAATACACCTACCATTCTATTTTTAGACTGAGCATTTCTTTGTGAGTGGGCAAACAATCAAAATCAGCAGGGGATCAAATACTTATTTCCTTCACTGTATATCACGCTGAGTCAAGAATTGGCGAACATGGATCACACAGTGCACAGATGCGTTATCGTGCAACAACATCCATTGTCCAGTGCTGTGCAACTCTGGCCGAACACAGCTGATGCATCATGCCAACCGTTTCAAAACTTCCTCGTAGAATGCGATGCTTACAGTTTGACCCACAAGAACAAATTCCTTATTAATGATGCCATCATTGTTGAAGAAGATGATCAACATCGTCTTGACCTTGAACTTTTGCAGGCAACTCTTTTTTGGTTGCGGGGAAAATAGTGAATTCCATTTCATCGATTGAATTCTGGATTGAACTGGTAGCACTAAGTCTCATCCCCTGTAAGGATGGTTCGCAGAAAGGATGGTTCCTGGTCACACATGGTAAGGAAATCTCCAGAGGTTTCCATCCGTTTTGCTTTCTGTTCGTCTGTCAGCTTGTGTGGCACAAACCGGGAACAGATCTTCTACTTACCTAAATCTTCACGGATGATGGTTTGCACTGTGTCCTTGCTAATGCCCAATTTCTAGGGCATCATTTTTAGAGTCAGTCACTGATCTTGTGCCAGCATTTGTCGCACTTGCTCAATCATGTCTGGGGTTCTGCTAGTCAACGGCTGACCCGAATGTGGCTCATCCTCAGTCATTTCCTTCCCATTGTGAAAGCGTTTGAATGTCATAAACATATTTACATACGTGCACTCACACAACATGTACACTGACACACACAAATACATACATACACACATGCAAGCGTTTGATGATGCTTAATAAAACATAGGGATTAAAGCAAAAGTGTTATAGTTATAAATTATAGTTATAATCTAGGATGGCTTTCAGATATAGAATTCTGTCTCTATATAGATCGAACTTATTTGAAGCCCAAGAAAATTTGCTGTACAAGGTTACACAACAGGGCCAAAACAAAACAAAGTAAGATTTAAATACAACTGGTCAAGAGCATACCAAATGATTTTCAGGGTACAGGTTTGTACCTTAATACCGATGCTAAGGCTCTGTACTAGACAGTTGCACTTTAAGTCCTCTCCACACCAATGTCAAGCAGTATTCTGCATGTTGGCATACAGTATTCAGTGCGCCAAAAATGCTTTGTAAAAATAAACATTTGTTTTCTCTTTGATACATGGTATTTTTTACCTTTATTTTAGTAAATCATTTGGTAAATTATCTTTACAGCGTATCACACTGGTGGTAACTGGCCAGCATTGGATGCGCCTTGTCTAGCAGGGTAACTGCCTTGCTCACCTTTCTATATGGCAAAATATATTCTCCACATTCACAGGCAGTTGGACATAATATAGAAGGCTCCAGTTCTACTCTTTACCAGCTCAAAAGGGCTGGTACTATTGCCACTATAGAAAAAAAAAATGACTGCAATACAGGCAACACCACCAGATGCCCAACATTACTGTCAGTAGTAGTTTATAAGAATGTTTTAAAAGAGGGTAAAAAACTGTTTACTTCAGAGCTTCTTTGCAGTCAATAAAAGAGGAAACGCAATTAAATAATTCTATGAATATGATCAAATGTTTTGGTCCTTAACACTCACTTAGAAACCATTATCTGAAGTCTAAATGAAATGTACTCTATTTGAAGTGCATTCACTGCACAAGCAGTTTTCTATCTTTATGTTTTCTTTGTTACTCACACAGCCTTCATAGCATGTACTAGAAAGAATTCAAGTAAATCAACCTTGAGATGCCGAGTAATTGTTAAGATCAATATATCTGGTGCAGTTTTGTTTGTTCTCACTGCGATAGCTGATCCGAGTAGATCCGTAAAGAGAGCTTGTACAAGTATTTTCAGACCATTGTTAACGGTCTGTTCAACAGAATATTGAAGGTAGCGGCTGATAGTAAACAGCGCACAGTTCTACCTCACACAATTTGCAGCTTTTAAAATGTTTTCTCTATGAAATACAGGATAAAAAAAATAAAGACATACAGTGCTGCTATGCAATTAGAAGAACTCACCTGTCTATCTACTTCCGGAAGTAAGAGCAGTAGGTACTGTTGAAAATGCTGAGGTAAAGATGCAAATGTATGCTTGTTTATTAAAGCCCTCAGGTTGGTGTTCACTAAAATTGATCCTGGTGTTTCAATGTCAATATCTTCTGCTTTGGTCCATTTCAAGTGCCCTGGCGTATGGAAAACAAAGTTAATAAGACTAATTACCGCAGGACACATGTATCAGTAGTTCCAAAATGTAGTTCTGATAGGCTTGATGGAATGGTGCAATCAGTCATTAAAAGAAAATGGTTTTACTTTGTTTTCACATGGATAGCACTGAAGCCGTGCTCAGCACATACAATACAGAGAGGACAGTCTAATCCCATTTCTTAAATCTTTGCATTAGCTTTGTATGGGTCAGCCTATTTCTGTAACTCTCTCCACCACAGCTATAATGGACCCAAAGCCAATCAACTTGATTACTGAAAGGAACGATGAATATTTTTCTACAGGAAAAAAAGCAATTTTGCCAAAGGTATGAATTATATCATCTGATAATATCAGCACAGTGGCTAAGTGCATTAGCACTTCCACCTAGTAGCACTAGGGTTGTCAGTTCGAATCCCAAACACAGCACTACATGCCTGGAATTTGCATATTCTGTCTTTGCCTGCGTGGGTTTCCTTCGGGTACACCGGTTTCTTTCCACACTCTAAAGACATGCTGATAGGGTAATTGGCTCCTGTCTGAATTGGTCCTAATATTTCTACGAATGTAAGTTCGGGACCTTAGATTGTAAACTCCTTGAGGGCAGGGATTGATGTGAATGCACAAACTATATAAAACGTGGCATAAACTGTTGGTGCTATATAAATCCTGCATAATAATAATAATACCAATATGTAAAGCTCTGCATCAATTGATGGCACTATACAAGTACTGGTAATAAACAATAAATGTTATGAAAATACTGTTTTTTCAAGCTGTTTGAACTAAATCAGATACTACTCAGTGTTAAAGTCAATGAATTTGTACTAACGTGCCTTTTTAACAGGTTCAAGTCATCTATGGCTAGTTACCTCTTAAAAAACAAAACAAAAGTAAAATACTGCAGCTTACCAGCCCTTGGATATGGTGGCTGCATTTGTTATTTTCCCCTTCCCTAATCCCCTCAATACCATGTAATGGAGATGAACAAAGGAAGCCATGTTTAAAGTAGAGTTCCAGGCTAAAGTCTCAAAATGCTCCCTCGCCCTCCTAGCACCTATGCTGACAAACCTGTGCAAGAAATATTTATATACTTACCTATTTTCAGCCCGCTCTGGTCTGGTTACATAATCTGGCTTCCCTGCATCAGCCAGCAGTGGCTACACATGAGAAGCAGGGGAAACATTGAGGTCTATTAGACTCCTAATATCTCCATAAAGAGTACATGTCACATGGGATTTTGTTATCCCCTTGTGACAGCAACAAAGTTAAATAAAAAAAAAAAAAACAAAAAAAAAAAATGTATAAAAAAAAAAATCCCCACTACCCCGCACACACCCACAAATGCAAACAAGCACCCAGGGTGCGCACATGTATGCAAACCGCAATTACACCACACATGTGAGGCATCGCTGTGGTTGTTGGAGAGCAATAATTCTAGTGCCAGAGCTCAAATTAATTTTACCAAAACATTGGGTTTTATACTGTGTGTGTGTACTAAAATTCATTTTATTTATTATTATTATTATTATGCTTGATAAACAGATGAGCAAATATCGTGCAACATAAAAAAAACTGTGACTGTCATCTTTTTATTCAACGGGGTCTCTTCTTTCAGAAAATATATAATGATCTGGGGGTTTAAATTGGGTGTACAGGCCGTCTGCGTGCAGGCTCCCGCTGCTGTAAATCATAGCCAGTGAGGAGGGAGTGGGTAACTGTAGAGCAGCTTCCAGGCACTCAGAAAGCAGTAATGCTGCCTTCTAGATGTCTGTTTTTTTTTGCTTTTTTTCCCAACTGGCCATTTTGCCTAGAACTAACTAGCCACAACTGCAAGGAAGGTGTTACATTTACATTGAATTCAATGGGCAGGTCGGACAGGCAGTGTCTCCTGTCAAACTCGACAAGCAGAGTTAAATTTGCAACAATGGCATGTTACGATCCCCTCTGGATGCCTTATTACGCTTACACTGGTGATCAAGAGGAAATAAAAACCTGGCCAAACTGCCTTTTATTACTGTGTAAACAAGGCCTTACTGTTCCTGGGGTTTATGTCAAACTTATTGAACCTATCAACAATATTAAATAAATGAAAGACCCAACTTCTGCTCTGATGACAGTGTTTCCGCAAAAAACCCGCAAAAACCTAGTTCTACAGAAATTAATTTGTAGAACCTAAAGAATAAATCTCTTCTTCAACAGGATGTGTTTAACGCAAGTGTCTTTTTTTCCCCCCTTTCCCCTCTTTTTCTTTTCCCATGCTAAATGTTTATCTTCAGCATATATTTTTCTATCTGCTATACCCTAATTTTCCTACTAGGGCCTTCTTTTTATAGAATGAAACAGAAGAAGGTAAGTTGCCAGGAGACACTTTCTAGACCAACTTATATTTCTTTAGCTTTGTGATGTCATAAACCTGGGACAGAAGCATGATAGTTCTACTCTGTTACCCTAGTAACACATACGTCTGGTGCATTGATTATTTAATGATGTTAAATCGTATATGTCTTTTGCAGAACTACTGTAGGTTTAATTAGCACTGTGTTATTGTCTACTGTTCTTGTTTTAAAAGAAGGTCTTTTAAAATCTTTTTTTTGAAATGTATATTAGCCCGAGAACATATATTTGGTATTATTTATTTACAGTAAGTCCCTAAAGAATCTATATAAAAATAAGGTGCAACTCCACCTACAACTGGTGTGTATACACTGAATCTTTCAACAGTAGCTGTGGCCTTTTTTAGTCTCACTGGATTTCTTCAATCACAAATTTTTTACATGGAAACTTTTTTGGACAGTGGGACTCTGTGCTGGGGGCGGCCATTAACAGGACAGGAAGAGGACATGTGGAAGGATTTGTTTTTCCTCTTCCTTTCCTCTACTCCCTCCTTCTTGCTTCTTGCCATTTTTCCCCCCTCCTTCACCTTGTGTTTTGTTTCTGTTTTCCTTCTGGATTGATGTGGAAGGCATTTTGGGATAACAAGAATAGGAGAGGAGACTAAAGATATACCTTTGCTGTGATATATTGTAACTTCATGAGAAATTACCAGCAAGCCTTTACACATAAAACAGACTTGTCTGTTCTTCTCCCATGGGGTGGTTTGGGTGTGGATGGTGGTCCCCAGGCCCATGATTCTAGTCTGGGGTTGATGTCTACAAAACGTGGCAAAATCCTGGCAATATATATATAAGATTATTTTTCTCTGTGAGCCATGGGTACATCATTCCACTCCCTCTCTTTCCATTTTCTTGTACAGCATGATTTGTCACTTATTAGTTACTACAACCTGTGATTAATCACAACTCTGCACTAAAATCAATGATTGTTCACAATGCGACTGATTTGAAGCATGTGCTACTGTCCCGTGTTCTTTAGGTAGTGATTTATCGCTAGCAACTTTAAGCATGCAACTGCATTATTAAAATGTACCTGTATGCTCTTAGCCATATTATCACATATGAAGATTTAGGCAGAGGCAGCAAAGCATTAAAAACATGGGAGGGCCTATACAAATTTCTAGAATGCAACAAAGTGAGGGAAAGTAATAGAATGACTAGTGTTTTACTTAATGTAAAAATATGAAGCTGTGGTATAGCAATGAAGGGCACTGAGGAATAACTCAGTGCTCGATCAATCGACACAGTTTGCAATGTCTAGAGGTATATACAATGCACACAGGCAGACTTATTAGACTTTTTGAAGCTCTGTGAATATATTAGTACAAAACCTATAAAAAAAAGTCCATGTAACTAGGGCCCAGTTTCCCCAGTAAAATCAGCAAACAGAAAGACAACAGGTCCCTATCATTCCTTATTATTACTTTAGTCGAATCCCAACCACAACACTACCTGCCCTAAGTTTCCATGTTCACCCCAAGCAGGTTTCTTTGGGCACTCTGGTTTCCGCCTACACTCCAAAGATATGCTAGTAGGTTAATTGGCTTCTGTCTAAATTGGCCCTAGTATGTGTATGTATGAATGTGAGTTAAGGACCCTAGATTGTACGGTGCTTGAGGGTTAATGACTGATATGAATGTACAAAATATATGTAAAGAGCTGCGTAAATTGACAGCGCTATATAAGTACCTGAAAAAAATAAAATAAACAAACTGTTACAGGCCTCTGGAGTTGTCACAAGAAATACAATGTGTGGAGCAATATTTTGTGTAAATAAAATATGATAAATGGCAATCACAAAGTATATATTATAAAGTTCAGTAGGACAACACAATTTTCAGGTCCTTCTTTTACTTGCAGTATCACAGTGACGTAATGTGAAACCTGGATAGTAGTGTTGAAAAAGAAGGCATGCATTACCATCACTTACCTAAACCTGATTTTTTAAGCCGTTTCAAGTGCTGGCTTATTTGTTTGCCAGGGGGTGATTTTTGCCCTTGCTTGGTTTCCTTATCAGAACTGTCTGCTTCACCGTTTTTTGATTCAGACCCTTGGGGAGGAGGAAAGAAAATGTAAATTAAAATTTATATGGCTCCCTTAGGTATACAAAGATGTCATCTTGGTAGTGTCTATTATTTGGTCCAAACGATTATTTTTTAATGTTTAAATCTTTTCTTTCAGTACACTACAGACAAGAGGATGTAAAATCAGATAAAATAACGTAATCAATAACTTGCAGAGTGTTACAATAGATAAGAGAAATAGTGTCCTGCTAATGCATTGCTTTGAAGACTATCCCCACAGAGGATGTTCTTGCTCCTGGTATTATCCTTGTTAAGCCAGTATAACAGTTATCCCCTTCCGATCACCGTCATTAACTTTGATGCCGTTTACACACATACAATCACGACTTGAACAGCAGCACTGGAATTCTTGGCATACATGTTACCATCCTTATAGTGTACTTTTTTAAATAAAGGAATAGTTATTGGTTATAAAAGAAGGTAAAAAAGCTAGAAAAACAGTTTCTGCAAAAATGTGCCATGCATCTAACCTCAAAAATCAGAAGACTTTGTGATTCTACCCTACATCATTTTGCACTTTTTTTAAGCAGGAACAGCAATTTATGACTAAATACTTATCAAATGCAATAGAAAAATGCAGTCACTATCGCCGTTTGAAAAAACCTAAAGACCAAAGGCAAAGAACACCACAATGGTCAAAATAGAAAAAAAAATCTTTAAATAATCAGATATAATGCTAGAAAGTGACAGCTAAAAATAAAGGTGAAAAACAACTAAAAAACAAAAACCATATTTACTTTTCCATATATGAAAGACAAAAACAACAGAGTGTGTAACCATGCTTGCATACTGATGAGAAATAGAGAAAAATAATATTGTGATAGCTAGGTATGCATAGTGGATAACCTCCAGCCCGATGTCAGGCACCAACAAGTACAAATACACACATGGTGTATTTGTTAAGGTTCTCAAAGGCAAACACACAAAATAACAGTGTGTAACAGAGCTCTATTTGCAGGCATTTAGCGCCAGCATGTGGTCCGGTATTACATTTCTTCAACCAGCCTACAATGATTGGATTCCTGTATCTTTCTGCTGCAGCCGGACTGTTATGTTATGTGTTCTGAATTCTAACATATACTTATGCATGTATAGGTGTGAGCTTATATCTACAAATAACTATCTGTGAATGTTAGAAAACTAGGAAAACAGCAGCAGATCTGCCTTATTATTCAGCTCTCCCCTTATCTCACCACCCTCCTTCCACAAAGCTTTAGCGAGTGGATTTTCACATCAAATGTGTAGTCTGTTTCATGTTTACCTGAAGGTGAATCTGACTGCTCATCAGACACCTTTAAAGGCGTCAGGACAACACGAGGGACAGTCTTGTTTACCATCATAGAGACCCCATTTCTTCTTTTCTGCTGCTGCCCTCAAAGCCTAAACAAAGGAAAGAATACAGTGTTAGGTTTACCAGCAATACCAGCCGGCACAATATCAAAACAAGCATTCAATCACCAGCACATTAGCTGTATTCACAGCATACAGTCTCTGTCTGCTTTACAGGTGCCAGCCCTCATGAAGGATACAGTGCTCGACCCTAGACAAAGCAAATCGAAAACTTGGACTTCCAAACACAATCAGACGGCACCTAACTGCATTACTGTCACAGCTCATCACAACAAAGGCATCTGTAGCTGACTGTACTACCTCCAGTTCACCACACATCATATCATTTTCAAGTCAAATACACAGCGTTAAGTATTAAAAAAAAAAAAGAAAAAAAAAAAAGCAGGCTGGAGATCAGTTTGTATATGGCTGCACATCTCTCGCAGGTGCTTCTGCTTCGCTATCCTGCTCAGTCAATCAAGTTAAACAGAGAGAGTGTCATCAGTATGTACAGCATGTAAGGACTACAGTATTGATGCACTTGCTCAGCCCGTGTGGAGTGCTGCACAAAAAATCACTGAACAAGGCAGGAATCGTTTATTTCAGGGAAGGAATCGCTCCCAGCCTTGGAACACTTGCAGCTCTTGCAGGGCTTCTGTCTGCTTTTGCTTTGGGGATTAACCTTCAAGCTACCAACAGGAGATGATTGGAAAAATCCACCGTTTGAAAGAAAAAAAAAATAGATTCTTGTCACCGACAACGAATGACAATGCACGAAATTGCTTCAGATGAGCTAATGTTTTCTAAAGATCTGTTCATTATCCATAACAGGCCAAGAGCTCAATCGCTCAAGTGCTCTTTGTGTTTCTAAGGATACAATTGTAAAAGATTACTAATTCAAGGCAATGTATGACAAGTCAGTTAATTTTTGTTTGTATTTTCCCCAGCAAGCTGTTTTTAACTGAAAAGAGCAAATCGACAAAGATGAACACATCAGCAAATAAACTGACAGGACGATCGCAGCATGGAAAGAAATATTTAAATGACACAACGGACTGCTCAAGTGTGTAACGTTATAAAACCATCAACACATAACAGCACATTTTACGCATAGTTATGCACATTAATTCTGCTACTCATGTTTTTCAGAATTACCCAACTGTTACCAATATAATCCATGCTTACAAGACAAATTATTCATGCCCTTCAATAGCAGCCCTTTATAAAACAGACATTCATTGCTGCTTCCATTCCTTCTCAATGTGGGAGGGGAACGCGGGCCAATAACAGTGTATTATGAACCCTTGAGGGTGGTTCAAAAAGAAGAGGAAAAATGCCAAACTAAATATGCTTCAATGAAAAAACTCAAAACAAAAGTTTAAACTTGACAACAATACATTCAAAATCAACGCTCAGATCCAATTGTCCAAAATGTCTCACGGAAATAGAAGCCGAAGAAGTAAAAGCCCCGGGCAGTATTCCTACAGACTATACACTATTATAATGAGGGAAGGGGAGTTTGATTCTTTCGGTTAACCTTTTCTAATTATTACCAAAGCGGCAATATATGCTAATCTGTTGGCCTACTCTTTTCTTTTAAACACAATTTAACAAAATGTCATACATTTTTGTTAAAAAATAAGATATTTTCATTAATGTAGACCCAAGCACAGAACAATAGGAAAACTAGAGAGAAATTCAGAAATAAACATTATTGATTATATTGTTTATTTCTGCTTGCTGTATAAAGGTGACAAATCAATGCCTTCTCATATTTATAAAAATGAGATCCTTTGTACATGTACAGTATCAACCTGTATGGTGCTTTCTAAGTAAAGAATTATAATAACTGCAGGCTTTGACAATACTATTGTTTGATACTGGTTATAAGGGTTTAGAGAGATTGGAAGGAGATACAGAAAAAGCAGAAAAAAGATCGGGAGATGAAAAATTAGAAAATGGTTTAAGAGGTGTTACATAAAATAACTGGGAAAGGGAAAAAAGAAGAAAGACATGGATTTGTCATCACTTTAAGGATGAGAGATACCAATTACTTTAGGTAAATAATGTAAAAATAGATGTAAACCCTAACTGGATGAGTTAGTTTGCTAAAGCACTGTGGACCATCAACAGCTTGGTTTCCTCTTTTAGAAAAGGGTTTTCATTATTGTTTTACATCTCATTGCTGCTGATCTCATGCAGCCTCTTTCAGTCACTCCCTACCCTATCCCCAATCCCTTCACCCCCCCCCCCCCCCCCGGGCAATGGTGGCTGAATGTCAATACTAGTATATGTTTCCTACCAATGGCAACACCAGAACATGCCTGTGCATGGCTGTTATAGTCTCCACTGAGAGCACATGACATGGTGCAGTGTTGTCACCCCATGATAGGTAGTGCCTGAACAAGGCAATATTAATATATTATACTATAATATGGTATTATTTAAATGAAAGAAGCAGACTTTAAAGATTGAAAATTACTTCTGAAATTACATTAACACGTTAAAGCCTATATGAAATTTTATTGATTGGCTTTACATCTACTTAAAATTAGAGGAATTATTTAAAAAATGCAGTAATACCATCCTTTTCTAATCTGTGGATCCAGGATTATATGTAGATAAATCCCATCATAAAGAGTATATTTTCAGGCTTATTGTCTAGTGCAATTATTAAAACTGTTTTCACACCTTTCCCTAGAATGATTCAATAATTTTTCAGCTCTACCATATTTCCTACCTCCATCTGACAATGCCAGTAAATACTGGAAAGCCCAATGACCAGAAGCCATTCATATTTTGGCTCATAAAAGACCTTATTTAAAAGTGACGCTGGACAGAACAGTTTTATGCTGGAAAACAATTCAGCAAAAGAAATGTACTTATTGGAAATTGACAACAATAAACTGGAGGTTTGGTCAAAAGAATTCTTATCATTGTTGCATCAAACTGTTGTGTTTGCCAAAAAGATTTTTATGGAAAGATTTAACCTGTGAATGATTATAATCATTAATTATAATAATCATTAATAATTATTTATCATTAGATGTACGGTCTACATCAGAAAAACTATAGTAACCTGTAGATTATGATAGAGGAAAAAAAAAAGAATAAAAAGTCTAAATCCTACTTTTGACTTTTTTGCCTAATTTCTCAACCCTAGATAAGTTTCCAGAATGGAAAGCAAGCTGTCAATTTTTTTAAGGTGAAACTGACACCCTGCAAATACTATGAAGAGCAATTACAAAATTCAACATGCAGTGAGCTACAGATTTCCATTTAACTAGAGTCAACTCAGTAAATAATGAATTCTTACTAGTTACCACGGTTACGGTACTTTTCCCCTTTGTTTTACTGAAGAAGTCCATGTCTTGGTTCCAGCCAGTAATGCTAACAAACACTCTATATGTTTCAGAAACATAATACTCATGGAACATAAAGACTATGCAATCAACGTTTTTATTTCTAGAGCAGTGGTGATGGCATTCACCAAAACGTAGAGAAACTAAAAAGATCTTGCACCCAGGAAAAGTGCATAAAATGTGTAAATAAATGATGCCTGGGAATTTAGCTGCTGCAGATTAAAACAAGTGCTATAAAATCAAAACACTGAGTACAAAAGCTAATTTCATAAATAAACCGTGCTGCTTAAAACCATCATAAACAAAATAGAAAACATAACCATAACAGATATGCTATAGCAATACAAAATAACATGAAATCTAAGTAATCATATAAATAGTGAATAAATCCAAGTGAAAAATCCCAGATAAAAAAGTGCACGTGTAGGTATAAACAAAACAGGTGCTCTACTTCTAGGTGCCTCCAGTGTTCCCATACACACTCACCACAAGTTGTTTACCTATTATTGCTAGTCAGGTCAGTAGTGCTTGTGTTTGGGGATATACCCTAAGTCTCCAATAGCTTGTTCCTATGGGTCCTTCTCAGATGGTGTACTGTCATGCATGCAAATAATAAATACCAGGGAGGATCTCATAGTGTAAAACTATTCGATTTTATTTATTAAAACACACAACTTCCTGAAGACGTCCAATCAGGATGAAAACGGTCGAGGTGTGGTCTACAGGCTGATGTCACTTCCAGTGGCATCATATCCTCCTGTTGGAGCACACGCTGGTTCTCTACACATGCATAGCCATGGCCATCTTTTCCTCCCTATGCAAGCCACACATACCCAGTGCTTGTTCTTATAGGCACCTACAAATGTGAGTGTGAATTTTTTTTTATCAATACTTCTGTTTTTTTTTTTATAAAATCGAATGGTTTTACGCTACGAGATCCTCCCTGGTATTTTATTTGCATGCATGATAGTACACCATCTGAGAAGGACCCATACTAGGAACAAGCCATTGGAGCCATTGGAGGGGTATATCCCCGAACACAAGCACTACTGACCTGACTAGCAACAGTAGGTCAACAACTTGTGGTGAGTGTCTGTCTATAAGGGAACAGTGGGGGCATTGAGAAGTGGAGCACCTGTTTTGTTTATACCTACACGAGCACTTTTTTATCTGAGACTTTTCACTTGGTTTTATTCACTGTTTATATGATTACTTAGCGTTAGTGTTATTTTGTATTGCTAAAGCATGTCTGTTATGGTCATGTTTTATATTTTGTTTATGAGAGTGTAGAGCAGCGCAATTTTTTTATAAAATTAGCTTTTGTATTCACCAAAACTTCACTGCAGGTGAATCAATCACTGTCATTTATAGCACATGCACCAGGAATTTTTTTCTTTTACCTGCATTGAATGTTTGGTAAAGGTCATATTCAATGTTCTATAAATATACATATATTGGGTTGTAAAGCGCTGAGCAAACTGTTGGCGCAAAATAAAATCTTGTATAATAATAATTGGGTGGGTTTTGCTTGTGTCATATAAAATCATTTGGACAACATTTATCATATATTGCCAAGATGAGCGACCAGGTCAATTTAAACATGGCAATGACAAGTGTGAAACAGTATACTACAGAACTGTGTTTAAATAGATGGGGGGAAGTGTTGTATCCATGATAACCTGTCAAAGCAA